CCCCCCCCCCCCCCCCCCCCCCCGTGGTGGCGCCACCACATGGGTGTATCTACTGGTGCCCAGGGCTCTGTACACCTCCCGTCTGTCCGCCCGTGAGGGCGCTGGTCACTGCTGCTCTTGGAGGACAGATTCCGTGGGGTCTCTCCCATCTAGCCAACAGCATGAGGCAAGATGTGGGCTGAGCAGAAACGGGGCACACGGGCGTCAGAGCAGCCTGCCACGGACTCTGCAGCTGCTTCTGCACTGCACAGGCTGGAGAGCTCTTGTTCAAAGGGAATGGCCACAGGGCAGGGGCAGGCCTGCATGCTGGAGAGCATGGGCACCGCTCTGGACACGCCCCTCTGCGTGTCTGGCCATCCCACCACGGGGAGCCAGAACCCACCTGGGTTATCCTCTCCCTCCCGCCAGTCCAATCCATTCCTGCAGCCACCCGCTGCAGCGCCCAAGGGGTTCCCTAGCTGGGGAGGTGCTCTGGGCCTAGGAAGCGCATTGCCTTGGGCGCAGCTAGTTCCAGAACAGGCTGGAGCCCCAGGGCAGCTGCTGGTCATTGCCAGACTAGGCTTCTGAGGCCAGGACACAATGGCCACCCAGGCTGGCCAAAGGCCCATCCAATCCAGCAGCCCATGTGTGGCCAATGCAGGTGGCATGACCCTTCCAGGGATGTATCCCGCTGGCCCTCCACGCGACAAGCCCCCTGTTCCTTCAGCTCGGCAACTGGCTGGACACAGCACTAGGTGAGCGGCCAGCCGGCCAGCCTCATGGGCAGCCACACGAGGCCCCCGCTGGAGTCCCCAACGGGCACTTACGTTCAAGGCATTCTTCGCTGCTTCCGCACCGGCTCGGCTATCGAAGGTAACGAAACCAACTGGCTGGAGGAGAGAACAGTGGGTAGCCGCTCTAGCCTGGAACTCAGGGCCGAGCTACATTTCAGAGTAGCAGAAGAGCTGTACGCACCCTCCCACCGTGACCTGGGCCTCAGGCTGCCCTGTTAGTCGCCTGGGACTTCGCCAGTGGGGCACTGGGCCGGAAAGAAAACACCGGCACTTCCTGGCCCTGGGGTGGTGCCCGATGGCAGCGCCAGCTGGTGTCCACGCTGTATCAAGAGCTGCATGGACATGGGGCAGCCGACTGCTTACTCCTGGGGAGGGAGGGGCAGCATGCCTAGCCCCTGCGGAGGCTTCCTGCGAGAGCCAGCAGGTTGTCAGCCAGACAGGACGTGGCACAGGCCAGACGTGGCCAGTGGGCCTCTCCCTGGGCCAGGCTCCGTGAGACTCGCTGCCACCACCCAGCCGTGCAGAGAGACCTGGGAATCACACCGGGGCAGGTGCAGCTACTGCAGGGAGGTAGCTCAGCCCGCAGGGTCCGTGGGAGCCTCCCCCAGCCCAGACCCCTAGCCCCAGCTGTTCTACCAGAGCCACGAAACAGTGCACGGGAGGGGAGCAAGGAGCGTTACCTGCTTGGAGGTTAGTTTGATCAGTGAGCCTTCATAGCCCTGAGGGAGAGAAACAAGCCAGGCGGTTACTGACCCCAGGCAGGCCCTGACAGCGCGCCCGACTCCAGGGACCCTGCCACCCCCACCAGCTCCTGACCCAGAGATCAGTGGCTGATCCAGCTGCACCCTGTGGGGAGGACAGGCCCCTTCCTCCCCCAACCCCTGATGGCCTT